GTAGTTCTAAAAAATACTGTAAATTGTTTCCAGTAAGAAACTCCACATTTAATCCAGCTACAGCATTGTGCTAACCTGCCTCCCTCATTAATTTCATATATCTGTTCATACACAGTGGTGAAGGAGGGGGAGAACATTCTAGCATTCTATATTACTTTCATATTTAAAAACAGAGTAAAAGTTAATTAAAACTTCAAACCTGTATTTCTGTATCCCTGTAAGAATTCACAAAGCACATTGATTCTTTGCAAAACTTATGAACACGTTAGTATCTGATAGTTGACGTTTCTAAGACTTTATAAGCCAGTTAAAATGGACAGTGTTTTAACCGTTAGGTGAATGAGAATGTAAAAGTAGTTTGAAAGAAAAAATAGGAATTTCTCTGTCAATTAAAAAAAAAAAAAAAATCACAAAAGAAGCTTTTCTGGATGTAAAAGACCACTAACGTGGTTGCTGTACATCAAAACCTGCAACATTTCTAGCTAGATCTGCTGTTAAAAGAAAACAAGTTGGCCATTTCATATGAATGAGGGGGCTTTCTGTTTCCTTTTTTATTGCTCTGAAATACTTTCAGCTTCTCCATTATCCCAGCTCCACTAATCCTGACGACAGCCTCCTGCAGTGCACTTGGGAGCCGCGCACTTGGGGCAGCCGCCCATGGCACGGCCCCTTTTCCCCTCTCCGCAGCTCAGAGCCCTCGCCTGCCCGCGGGGGAGCACGGTTTTCATTCTCAGCAGAAAGCCTACATGATGCCCTCCTCTTGCTTCGTTACTAGAGAGTAGTTGATGGGGTGTACTCTGCCCTTTGCATATAAAGGCCCTTTGTGCTTCTATCACTGCAAAGAGAGTTGAACCTCTGCCTTTCTTTGGCAGACGTTTGTACCCACGCAGATGGCTGTGAGGGACTGTGCAGGTACTCGAGGACTGGTCCTATGCCCTCTTAAAAGGTACCTCACTGGTGCAGGTAACAATTCCCCTGTTGGTGGAGAAAGTCTTAAGAGGTTGTGACACATGGTTGCTGCATAAGCTACAAGTAGGAATAAAATGCTCGGTTATTTTATTTCTTTTTCTGAATAATTTTTTTGTCCTTTCTTCAAGGGAAGGCCTTCTGAAAAAGTTTAAACTGTGTCCTGGCATGTCCTTGTAAAGAAATGAAAAGGTGCAGGCTCTGATTTTTTAGGTGTGTTTCTAGCTCTTACTCCAGCTCTTCTTTCAAGAGCCTTTTTATTCTTAAAAGACAGGAGGTTTTAAATTTAAGCTCTTCTGCTATGCATAAAGTGTTATTGTTCCAGGTAACTGAAGGCTCTCATGAGTTCCTGAATTTCTTAATGAGTCCTCTCTCAGTGGTGCTAATTTGATGGGATGATGTTATCCTCATCTGGACCAATCCATATTGTTCTTTTGTTGTTGTTTTTGCCATTTTTGCATCGATACCATGTTTAGTGAAGTGAGAATCAAGTTCTCTGTACCTCATCGGTAGATTTTCAGGGAAGCTCCAGCAAGGTTTAGATGGTTTGTTGATCACTTAGTATATATTTACCAGTGAAGGTTTGTTGTTCACCAGCCGTCTAGAGAATTAAAAGCATCAAAATACATCAGAGAGATAGCTTTGGTGCAAATGTTTCCGTCTCATGAGGGTAACTTCTCAATCCAGGCTAAAGCTTAACATTGCTACGGCTGACATTAGTTGAGCTCTTACAACAAACAACCCCGGGTGGTGAGATTGTCAGTCCCGGTCAGGGAAATCTGCTGAACCTCTGTAGGAAGATGCTACCACAATCTCTTCCCCTTTTGTAACTGGTATATGGCCACCATCCGATGCTGTCTTTGTTTGTGGAGCATTCAGTCTCCTTACAGCTCTGTGCTTGCCTCCTGTCAGTCTGGAGCTTGCTGTTTTCTGACTTGTAGTTTTAAAGTTTCAGCCTGCTCAGTGTGACTGTACTGGAAGCAGATGGCTGGCAGTAGCTAAATCATGTTTGGTGTCTGTTCCTTCTATGGCAGATGAGACCAGCACAGGAACTTGTGTCTCTTTACTCAGATCTCCCACTAATTCAAAATACAATAATTCCTTGTTGTATCTTAAAAGCAAACCTAGTATTGGGATATTGTTGTATGGTTCAGTTTTGCTTGCAATATGGTTAGTGAGTCAAGCTTTGTAAACCTTTATTTTTAGAGATTAAGACTGGGGAGGAAAGCACCCGTGCAATTGCAGAGCACCGCTTGTACATGCTCTCACCTTAATCTTAAGAAAGGCATTTTCCCCTCTAGCATTTACAAAGCAGTCTAGTTGCGGTGGTGTCAATGAGCGAATATAGGTGGCAGGCGTTTCTCCAGAATGGCTCCTGAGCTTATGTATTTGGTTTTTGGAGCCAAAAAAGTCTAGGGGAGCTTTATGTTGAGAAGCCCCAAGGTGGGGAAATACGTTTTTAGCTCTGGGGTTATGATTTGTGTTAATTATTGGGTGTGGTGGGGATGGTGGGGTTCCCAGATTAGTATGTTTGCTTAGCTGTGTTTTTTGAATGTGTCAAGGGGAACCAGGGTGAAGATTAAAAACTTCTTTTTTAGGGAATGTGGGTATAATTGAAAGCAAATAAACTCTTAATAGTCGTCTTCAGGCTCAGTGAGCTGCTTTGTAAATATACTGATTGTAGTTGCAGAAAATATTCATAGAAACTGGTTTTGCTCACAAGAAGTATTCAGCCCTCCGCATAAGAAGAGAGAAAAGTGTTTTGTCTTCTGTGGTGGTAGGTTGCTGTGAGAAATATAAGGGAAGCTGAGCTCTGTCCCCTGCACTGTAATTTCCAGTGCTTCCACAGTTCAAATAATGTAAAATGTGTGAGTGTTTGGAGCGAGTGCAGCCAGAGCTTGACCACAACAGCCTGCCTGCCCCAGTGTCGCGCTGCCTTTGGGCACAAGCCAACTCCCCCCACCCCCCCCCCACCATTGTAACGAGCAGAAAGAAAGTCACCCCACACAAGTGTGAGACAAGAGAAAGGCATCGCAGCTGATTTTCAGGGTAATGGTCTTCGTGCAGACTCGCAGATGCCCAGATTGGTTATCGCAGCGTGCACAAATGTTTAGCCTACCGTAGCATTCTGGACGGCTGGGGTGCTGAGAAAAATCCCTCAGGGCTATTACTATGGGATTTATTGACTGTTCTGTTGTACTGCTGACTGATTCCTGCACAGACTGAGACACTGTTTTGTAGACATCTTTCCCTGAGATAAATTTATTCGTTCATCCACTATGTGACCTGTGTATTGGATCAGACATGTACAATGGACCCTGTAGCAGCAGCTCAAGCCTTGACGAATTGAATGTCTATCTTCTGAGGTTCATGACAGCAGCTTGCTCGCTACCCACTCTGTTAAAAGGATTACCTAACTATTGCACAATCACTATGGAGACCAGATGGTCTTTTTGCCTGTTTCTTTAGACAAATTGGGTTCAGTGTTCCCTTATGAATAGATATAAGCCTTTCAAAGCCCCCTTGTTGAATGTACTTTCTGCTCCCAGATGAAGAATTCTGAGTGTAAACTCATTGCTTGTTTGTGGTCTGTGTCTCCTGGATCGAGTAAGGCAGTTTTGCTGGGGGTTTGCAATTTTTTCAGCAATTTAGAGATTAGGAAGTTTGTGTGTTGTCTTCTGTTTGCCTTGAATCAAAATTCTTTTGTTCAATCCATGTTGCATATGACATTTTTGAAACTGTTTACATAAATGGGTGCAATTAGCAGCATTGGCAGATGAAACCTGCAAGGCAAGGGTGTCCTAAATAACAACCTTCCAAATTGTTAGAGAGAATAAGCAAGTTAAAGAGACTTTATTTTTCTTTTTTTTTTTTTTTTCAAGCATAAGATGAAATTTCTGTGGCTTATCTGTTTTATCAAATATCTTTGTGTTAGCAGCCATGAATTTGTGTTTCTAGGTCTGTAGCATCTCTAGCATGATCCAAAAGGATATATCTCTTCTAAGTCATTTATTTGCTAACGTTTTTCTAGGCTTGCTGTTAAGACTGGTTTTAGTTCTAGTTTGCAACCTTTACTTTTGTTTTTAGTAAGGTTAGCAAAATACCTAGGTTACTAGTGAATTCCTTTATCTATCCTCAAGGTTCTTACACAGTAAATAGCTACAAAACAAGTCAAAAAGAGCAAAACTCTGCGAGTTCAAATCAGGTAGCTACTCAATTGAAAATTATGACCAGTAGCCACTGAATTTATGCAGAAAATATTACTTTTGGGGGTAGCGTATTAAGAATGGCTTCTAGCTAAAACATATGTTCCAAAACTGAGCCTAAGATCTTTTATAGCTTAATTTCTGCCGTGTGTTTCAATCTCAACTGTTGGAGTGTTCTGTGAAATTCAGCTCCTGTCCTTTTTGTTTTAAGTTGTGGCCTTTGTGTGCCAAGTGAAGAGCCAATACGTTCAGATGGTCAGGAAGAACTTGCATCTTGTTACCTTTGGGTGTGTGCAGTGCTTGGTGCTGCCTTTTTCTTGTTTTACTAGCAGATTAACTTAAAACCAGAACAAACCTAAAGAAGAGAGGTTACAGAGTTGTTGGTGGAGTGAATTACATGGTGGCCTTTTGCTGCAAGGGTCATAGTTGGAATCCAGGCACAGGGAAGGATAAACAGATGCTGTGAGACATTGCTCTGATCAGTTTGGTCCACATTGTAATAGAGCACTGCACAATCCTGCCATCTGTAGTTGGTCTTCCAAAAAGAAACCTGGAGGGGGCTCAAAATTTGCCCTAATTTGTCAGTGAGAGGAAAAAAGTACAGAATTAGAAAATAAAACACTTACCCAAACAGTGACTTAATTTTATTAATTCAATGTCAGTTGTTAAAATACATTGATAAAAATGTGTGTCTAATGTCCAGGAATCCCCTTAACCAGACCTTCTCCATTTGTAACTTCGGTCAGATATTTTTTTGGTATTCATTTTGCTTACAGCTGGAGTAAGTTCTATTCAACTGAGAACCCTTTTTTGTCTGGTGTTTTCTAGGAAGGCTGCGTGCAACTCCATCCTGGTTTTGGCAAGTGTAGTGGCTGGCCACGAAGACAATACAGAGCATGCTAACTGCTAACCGTGCCCGTGTTTGAGAGTGATCCGACAGGTCTGCTCTGCATTTTATACTGTGCTTTTCATCTAAAAGTGCTAAGGGCTAGAAGTATGGATGTTAAAATACATACAAACTCTAGAAGATAAGATTATTGCTTTCACAGTGGCTTATTTTGGCAAAATTTTAATGACTCTGCAGTGTATTCTCCTAAGAGTGATAGTCTGAGATCCAACATGCCAAAAAGCACAGTGCTGATGGAAAAAAATGCTTTGATGTTGTTTCTGTAAATTACAAACAGTGAATATTCACTCCAAGTAACAAAAAGAACAAATTGATCCTTTTTACTTTGGGGTACACTTTATGTAGGTCCAAAATCTTCAGTCATCTCACTAGGGCAATTTGACTGCTCCAGTGTGTGCTATTCACTGTGAATTCAGTAAAAAGCTGAAGAGCATTTTACTAGTTACAGCAGTTTACTGAAGTGAACTATCAAACTGTGCCATGCAGAATGAACATAATACAGTTTTGTGCTGTGATGGAGGATAAGGCTATTTGCTAATCAAGTTATTTTTTACCTTTTTTTTTTTTTTTTTTTTTTTTTTTGGCATGGGGTATTTTCCTTTCTCCTGTATTGACTCCATTTAAACACAGAGTTGGGGTTTGCTGAACAGTTTATTGAGGCAACACTTGGTTGCACAGAAACCAGTCAAGCTGAAACTGCAGCGGGCTTGTCTCCTGGCAGAAGGGATTTCTCTGAAAGTACAGTTCACTTTACATCTGAGTTATGATTATTTTGCTGTCTCCCTTTCATTATACCATTGTTCTTGGGAGCCAGAGATTTAGTAAGTTATAAGAAAAGGATGTTGCCAAGGGTGTGGGTGGAGAAAGGTGTTGACATGATTTCAATGGAGCTAGATTCCAGCTTTATAACAGGGGGGTAATGAAGCATACAGAGAATAGGCTTTCCTAGCCTGCCCATAAAATAAGTTCAGTAATGAATTTAATGTTGTAAATGGCTATTTAATGGCTTTTTTGAAACCATTGTTTCATACAATTTTTTAAAAAGGCATTTTCCTGTGTAGAGGATAAAAATGGTCTGTTACTTTTCTCTCTGTCTTCTAGCGATTGTTTCTAATGAAATTCTTCTTAATTTAGTGGAAAATGGGGAATTCAGAAAGCCAGTACAGTCTTCAGGGATCAAAAAATCATGCTGCTGCTACAGCTGGTGCCAAGCAGAAGCCTTGCTCTCTGAAAATTCACAGCATTCATGCTAAAGATGAAAAATCTTGCTCTATGCATGGATGGGGACATACCAGTAGCAGCTCAACCTACAAATCGAGGTCCCTTGCCAGAAGTTGCCTTTCGCACTTCAAGAGTAGTCAGCCTTATTCATCTAGACTCGGTGAGACTGTGGTGAAGGTCTCTAAAAGCAATGCCCATGCCAAACACAGGAAAAACGCCTCAGGGGACTACTGCCAAGGAAATAACACGGTGTTTTTGCCTGAGAACGGTTTCCACTATATTGGCCTTCAAGCTGCAAGTAATCATGCTGCCTCTCGAGAATGCAATGGACACATTTTAAATTGCTACGGAAAGAATGAGAGTCTGGCATCAACTTCCCCATCAGAGGACAGGAGGAGTCCGAAAGTTCTCATTAAAACACTGGGGAAGCTGGATGGTTGCTTGAGGGTTGAGTTCCACAACAGCAGCAACAGCAAAGTACCAACCGAGGAGTCTAGTGGACCGGTCCAGTTGCTGAGGTATTCGCCTGCCTTGGAATCTAAGCCAAATAACCTGCTCGATGTCAGGAGGAACTCCAGTGCAGACTGTTCTTCAAGCCATCGTCTGTCACCTACTGATTCAAGGCTTCGATCTAGTAAAGGAAGCTCCCTCAGCTCTGAGTCTTCTTGGTATGACTCTCTATGGGGAAATGCTGGGGATGTCAATGAGTTGGACGGTCCGTATTTGACCAGGAGTACTCCAGATACAAGCATTCATGCCAGTTTCCCAGCAAGTGACAACAAGAAGTCTTTCAACCAAAGCTCATCTCTTTCCTCACTCAGAGATCTCTATAAGGATACAAATTTGGAAAGCACTCCTCCACCTGGGATCAGGTTGTCTGATGAGTACATTGACACTCGTGGTAGCCTAAGCAACCGAGTCTCGTTTGCCTCAGACATTGATGTTCCCTCCCGGGTAGAGCAGGGAAGTCCTGCACATTATTCCTCCTATACACTCCCATGCAGAAAGTCCAAGCCCCTCAGTGAGGATGCATCCAAGAAGGATACATTAAAAAACCGAATGCGACGCATCAGTGACTGGACGGGAAGTCTCTCAAGGAAGAAAAGGAAGCTGCAGGTATGTACAAACGCCACCCTAAGTGCCTGAAAGTTTGTTTGTAGATTCCTCTTATAAATGCAGTGACTGTATCATGTTTGTCTTTCTCACAGGATAATTACTTGCTAATCTCATTTAGTAATTCGTGGAATTCTGACTATTGTTGCATCCCTGGAGATGTCTGAAATGTCAACAGCAAAAAAAGATATACGTTTGTGTATGCAAGTTTTCCTTCCCTGTTTTGTCACCTTCTTAGCTAACTCGAATCTCTGCAGCCTAATTTCTCAGTGAATTAGCTTTTGAAATAATTGCATTACTTTAAAAGTGATTTGGAGTTTTTAAGCCTTCTCTTTATTTCAACTATGAAAATATAACCTAGATATCATATATATGCTATGAATCAGCATACATTATCTAAAGAATGTGGAAGGAGCAGTAGAAGGATGTTATAAATATCTTCACAGGTATTCCCTATTTTTATTACTGGCTTCACCACGCAGTTTGGTTTCACTGTCAGTCCCTCTCTAGCAAGGCGAGCAACTGTAGAGTATCGACCAGAGCTGTTGATTCTGCCTCCACCTGCTCTGAAGGCATTACATGGAGTGCCCTTCTCCTTCCTGCGTGTCAGCTTAGTTTGCCAGATGGAAAAATTTGTGTTGCCATCTGGCTTGCCAGGAGATGGTGATGTGAAGGAAGAGATGGGAGGATGGCAAGAGGAGGGGAAAGGATATTTCTTTAGAAGAATTTAAAGCTAATGCCATTAATAGGAATTTAGGATGCCTGTGGTCAGGAATGAAATTCTCATCTCTAGCTGTAGGCCCCAGAATTGGCTCTTTAAATGCCAGACTGTGCCTGGACTTCTGCACATGAATTCACAAGCTGAGATGGAGGGCAGAGACTGGTTTTGGTTTGGATTTTTTTTTTTTGGTGTTCCTCATACAGGAACAGTCACTGTGCTTCTCTAAATGAAGGGTCTGCTCCTTTTTAGTATCTTGAGTGTGCTGGCCATTTCAGAAGTGAGCAGAGTGAAGAGAGCACATATTTCTGCAACTTAGGCAGCAGATAAGCAGTAAATCATAACACGTGCTTTATGTGGCATGTAGAGCAAATGTTGTCTCCCGTGTTGGGAATTCAGACAGGTATTGTGCTTAGCAGGCATCTGTCATTGCAATCTAAAACTCTGATGGACCCTTAGGCTCAGAAATGAGGTCAGTGAAAGGTTTGCCAGTGTAAATCCTAGGTAAGGGCTACAGAACTGGGAAAATGAAAATGAAAGCCATTTATTTGGATCACTTCTTTTGTGAGTTGGTCCTCATGTTTTTTATCAGATGCTGTCTTTTCACCTTCTTACTCAGCTGTGAAAGAGAAGGCAGAAAAACTGGAATCAATGTAGAACCTCAGTGCCTTGTGCCAGGATTCTTCACCGGTTTCAACATCCATGGCTGTTCTGGATTTTACAGCCAGGCTTTACATATGATCTCTGCATCCCAGACCTTTGCTATGTATTACTTAGTTATGACATTTTCAGATTGGTATTTGTGGTGCACAATTCATAGCTGTTTTGAATTCACTGTGCAGTGAACTGACTTCAGATACAGCAAGGAAATTTGGCTGGAGAGATTGCATCAAACTTGAATCTGATTCTGGTAGAAGGAAATCAGCCCCAGCTCCAAAAATGGTGATTTCTTAGAAAAAAAGGCATAGGAAATAATTAGTCATTGATTTTTATCAGACAAGTATCCAGAAACAGGAAGGCTAAGAAGGATAACGAATGCTTTATGATTTTGCCTTCCTCGTGGGGCTTGGTCAGCTCCTTTCCGCCTTGTGTGCTTTGAGTAATTTGCCGTCCTTTCTGGGGGTTGCCTTGTTGTAGTTTGGTAACGAATTATACACTTGCTGGGTTCTTTGGCTTAAAAATGCAGAAGTACCATGTGTGGTTATGATCGGTCAGATAGTTAGTCCTTGTTTGTAGGACTGTTCATCACAGCAGTTATAGCCTCTGTGCTTTGCTCTGAACAACGTGTCCCTTCCTCAGTACATTACTAATAGCTGATTGTGAGTCACTGGGCTGAACGTAGGTGAAAGCTGGGATATTTCCCAATAAGTAGGCCTAAGTGCTGGTGCTGGCTGTGTGGATAGGTCCCTCCGGCTGCCTGAGCAGAAACAAGTCAGCCAAGCCTCCTGCTTCATGGAGATGCAGGACCAGGGGCAAAGTCTTGGGATATTGAGGCTAGTCCCTTGCCACTAGAAAGGCAGTGGAGTTTAACACCCTTCATGAACAAATTGCAGCTTAAAATCAGGTGGGCTTTTCCCCATCTTGAAAGTTGTTTCCAAACTCTCTTACTCTGATGTTTACTAATTTGCAGAGCAAATGTAATCCCGGCTAGTTTGTTCTGATGCCAGTATCACCCACTACTTGAGTTATCCCTCCCTATTATTTAATCTGTTATGATTTATTTAAAGGGAGAAATGGTATCTTTTCTTGGTCTGCATTTTTAGAGCTATGCAGATTTTCTTTGGTCTTCTGTTTTAAGATAGGAAGTCTGTTTCCTTTTCATTCCGGCACCCTTCCTCTGCACCTGTTTTAAATCATCCATAAACAGATTTGGATATGGGATATTCCAGAGAAGCCCTCAGCTGTGCCCTGAATAGTGACTTGGATGTTTCCTTATGTCTGACTTGATCTGATACTTGATCTGATATATCCTGGAATTGAATTTGCCTTTCTAATACTGGTCTCACATCAAGACTTGCAGTAATTCTGTGCCATGACCCAGCTTCTGTTGCACAAGGGTGTCCTAATGTGTTCCCTTGATGCACCACTGCTTCTTTGCTGCATGGCATGTCCTCATTTAGTTTAATCCTTGCTGAAATGAAACTGGGGAGATGCTGTATCATAGTACACTATGTATGAGCAGCAAAGTATATGTGATGGATGTGAGACCTGTGGAAAGAATTTAGCCAGGCTTGTTGCAGTCAGACACTGCTGGAGGTGGTGGTGTAAACTCAATGTGCAACTATATAACATGGAGAAAATGAGCAAATGCTGTGTAAAGTGCACATCCAGCCACCAGAAACAGCTGCTTCAGATAGGTTCTTCAATGAAGTGAATAGGTTCTTTAATGCAAATTATTTCAGAAATTTCCCGACTTTGAGCCAGAGACATGAAGTGTGATATAAAAACAATTTAAGAGAAAAGTACATTGAAACAACCTCTTTATTTGGCTTGAAAACTGGCATTAGATTCTACTTTCAGCTTGTGTCTTAATGAATTTAGCAGGCTGCATTGTTTCCTGCACTGTTCTTTACAACTAATTATTACATGCATTATTTTGTCTAACTGGTATCTTAGCCACTTTATCTTTTGCAGTATCTGTAACTATTCCAGGTTATATATCAGACATTGAGACTGCTTGAATGCAGCTGATCAGAAACAATGGTAGTTTTCTATCATCACTAGATACAACAGAGTGAAAACGAGCAGAAAGTCGCCTGGCAGGGAAACCACGACCAGCAGCAATTTGGGTCAGACCTTTTCAGTGGTGACCAGATACTGCTACAGCGATGGCCTCCCTGAGGACCAGCAGAAACTCTGTGACTCTGCCAATTCTGTTCTTTAAAAAAATTAAAATACAAGTGATGTTGTCATGGTGAAGTGTATATATTTATTTTGGATCCTGTGTCCATTTACTCTGCTCTGGTACTTTCTAATTTCTGTGCTTTCCGTGTGCGTGGAGAAAACATAGGATGTGGTTAGTGGCTGTTCCATGGACAGGTTGTATCCCACTCTTTTCATTAATGTTTGGTGTTCCAGTAGTGACCCTTCACAGCAGACACATTCCTATATATGCATCTCATGTTGTTTTTCTTACTAGTGCTTTGGGACTCAAAGAAATACATATTCATAATAGACTGTATGTTAATGCTTTCTAGAGGACACTGACAGTTCCTGGAGAATAATTGAACAATTAAAATACAGGATTTTGGCATACACATATAGTGACAGTAATTAAAAGGAAGGTGGAAAAAGGTTCCAGTATCCCACCAAACTGTAGATGTCCAGCACAGTTGTATGCTCATGTTGTATGGTCTCTTTGTGGGCATAAACACGTTACACATGTGATTATTTTCCTCCCCTGCTATGTCCCCTGAGATTTCACTCCCTTTACGGTATAAAAAGCAAAACTGTTGATGTTTAGGGAGTCACTCTCAGAGAACGCTGATTAATACTCTGAAATAAGATTTGAGGAAGGTGCTCCGTAACCAGAATTGGATCCTTGTCACAAGACACAGTGATCTGAAAAGCCAGACTTTAACTTCAGCATACCATAAGAGAATGTGGATTTCAGTTCAAGTTGGCTTTTGCAAGTCCACGACCAGCAGTGTCCTGCTGCTTGAGAAGTGGCTTGTCTAGCGAAGCTTGGGAGGGCGTGCAGTCCCACTGTTGCTCTTGGCTGCATGCTGGACGTCCTGATGCTATCAAAACACGGCACAGCGTTTCCGCTGCAGTTTTGAAGAGCATCAAGTAGGAAGCAAAGGAACAAAAAAGTAGTTGCTTTCAAAGCTGCTGGTGAGAGCAGCTCACAGGAGACCAAGGTTTATTTACTTTATTCATGTACAGAAGTCTATGAGCAAATAAATGCTTTTAGAGAGGCAGTCTAAACTTGAAAGTATAATAGCTTTATTATTACTGAAGATAATAGCTTCACTTCTTGAATTGTTGATAGCCATCTTTTCTCTTCCCTCACACTTTTATTGAAAAAGGCAGCAGGTTTTTTGTGCTGTATGTTCTTAAACTTTTGTTGCTTTCAAATAGCATCAGCAACGCTTGAGTTGGGAAGACAATAAATGGTTTCTTATGGTGGATGATGTGGTTCTTGACAGTGAAGTTAGCCCTAGGAGCTTTGTCTTGGGTAGTACAAAAATCCTTGTCCGTCACTGGAGCCTGGGAGAATTGGGAGCAGTCAGCACATTACGGGGAAAGGCTGAAGAAAGAAAAGGCCTAATCTGCCAACAAGGCCCCATGTCGGCAAGCAGTGACAGGAAATGGGCCTATGTTATGATCCATATCACAAGGCACAGCTGAAATCATACGATCAAGCCTGAGTATTTAAAATAAAACTGACCAGTCCTCTCAATACTAGGGATGAAGTTGCACAATGCAATTAAGAGAAAGTCAAGCTCCCGAGGGGTTTCCAGCAAGTCAGAAAATACACAGATCTGCAGCCTGGAAGTAGATTTGTGCAAGTCAGCAAGCACATCTGTCTTTTTTTAAATTACATCTTCTGATACATCAGATTTTTGTCAATTGTTCAATACTAACAAGATTAAAATATTCTCAACTCTTGACCCTTTTTATGTTGGTTAAGCACAGTTTATATGACAAATAGAAAGCAAAGGTAAAATCAGTTTAGCTCTGCTGAAGCTAAATGTAGCTGCCTCTCGTAGATAGGGTGTCACCAAAGTATTGAAAGCCCTGAAATAATAAACTTGTGACTCTGTTCCTGCTTGTACTCATAAAGACGTGTAAGTGGTGGTGCCTTTCAGCCGGAGGATGTGGTTGTCTCCTGGAGTCCCTCAGGCCTCAGCCAGGAGAAGCCCCAGTAGTTACTAGTGAATTTGGAGATCACTTGCAGGTGTCTGAGTTACCAAAGCTTACAGGCTTAATGGTTAGGGTTTAATGGGGCTCTGCTGAGAAAACCATGAATGGTGGCACTGACCTACTGAGGCAAAGCTTACACTGGAAAGAGGTGGCCCTTAATGAAGGAACTGGCCATGGCTAAACATGAAACAAATTTACATGTCAAATGAGGTGTGTCTTTTCATCGTAGCTCTGGTGACTGATCACTGACAAATTCCTTTTCTGCACAGGAGCCAAAGTGTAAAGATGGGAGCGAATACTTTGACAGCAGAATGGACAACTTTGCCATGGACATGCTGGCACCATCTCAGCTCTCTGCTTTGCTGTGGTCACCTGGTTCCAGCCACGTCCTTTCTCAGAGAAGCGAGTCCACCAATGCGGTCAGTAGTGATGCCCTGAGGCAGAACATTTATGAAAACTTCATGCGAGAGCTGGAGATGAGCAGGACAAACTTGGAGAACACTGAGACCTCATCAGAAACGGAGGACTCCAGCGGCGAGTCCCTCAGCTCCTTGGAGCAACTGGACTTGTTGTATGAGAAAGAGCAAGGAGTGGTGCGCAAGGCAGGGTGGCTGTTTTTCAAACCCCTGGTGACCCTGCAGAAGGAGAAGAAGCTGGAGCTGGTCACACGGCGGAAATGGAAGCAGTACTGGGTCACACTCAAAGGTAAACCACCGCATTGTTCCTTCAACGTGGCAGCAGCAGTTGTTTCCATTGTGTCTCAGCAACTTTTTGTGCATGCTGGTTTCTGCTAGCAGGTTTAGAGGGATCAGAAATACATGCCTAACTTTACATGGTCTACCCACACGCTTAAAGTGGAGTATGTGCCTAAGCAACCCACTGAATTGAGGGGGTGCTCATGTCTTTACTATTGCTTGTGCAGCCTTGTGTTTCATACCATAGTGGTAATTTGTTTGTTTGACTTCCCAGTTTCTGTACTCATGCAGAATTGGGGGTTTAGAAGATGCTTGTGGATGTTTGGAGGTCAAACATCTGAGGCTTAGCTGCCGTGGACCGCTCCCAGGGCTCACCAGTCTTCCTCCTTTCCCTGGATGGTCTTTCACCTTGCCTGCTCTTCCCAGTACCAACTCCTGCTCATGCTTTTGGCATGTCCACCTTCCCATCTTCTCCTGCTGTGACACAGCCCTGTGAGAAGGCAATCCACTGGAGAGGGGCTGCTGCTGGTGGGCTGTGGTGTGATTGCTGTGCTCAGCGCTACACTCGTGGTGCACATTGGTGGCTCAGAGCAATCTAGTGGGTAGGTGTGTGGCAAGAAGTGCATGGTGTCAGGAAGTGTGAGAAGGAAAATAACACCTGTTGTGGGGAGGAAGAGGAATTTAACGGGTGAGTTCATAGATTTTATTTTTTTTTTTTTAATTGTATCCAAAGGATTTGCCTTTCCCTAAATATAATGCTAAGTTAATGAATAAGGAAATGATCAAACTTAATAATTTCCTAGCATATCTGGGGCTGGAGGGGAGAAAATAACTTTCCACAGGTTGCCCTTTTCAAAATTCTGCATGGGTGTAGACCTGAAGAAAAATGAACAGCAAACAGCAAGAGCTGGGAATGTTCTCCTTGATAGTGCTGATTTAAAAGAAACAAATTCACAAGAATGTAGCAATACTGACTAATAATTCAGAGACCTGTTATCAAGGGATCAAAATGTAGGCAGTCTTAACAGTTTAAATCACTTATCCTGATCATTGTATAGCATGATTCAAACTCACAAGCAGTGTATACAAAGGGAAAAACAATATCTGAATTCTACCCTCTTATTGTATGTGTTTACATTATGCCTCTTCTACAATTCAATATGAGTTTGATCTGCCTCTTCTAAAATTCAAGTAGTTTCCGAACAATCCTATCAAAACTCTAAACTGAAGTACATTATATATTAATTAGTAGTTTGTGCATTTCTGGGATAATGAAGCTCTGGGAAGGAATTTAGGTGCTTCATGTTTGGTTCTTTGCTATTAAATTGCCTTATTGGTGACCTTGAAAAAGTAATGTCCCTTCTTGCTACCTGAATTTTCCCAGCTATAAAAAAGGACTAATAAAATTATTTGTAAAAAGCTTTATTAACTTCTAACATTATAAGAAGTATTAAACACAATGCTTTTTACTTTGGGTGGGTGGTATGGCTGCATTCATGGTGCAGAATCTCTTCCGCTTTGTTAACTGTTTTAAATATACATTCCTCATTTCCTTGATCTCATACCTTTATTGTCTGTGGAGACTTCTGATGCCAAAATAAACTCGCCTGTCTGGATATCAAGGCGTAGTTCTGTTTTCATAATATGCTATATCAAGATCAAGGTGCTTGCTTTGGTTCTCCTTATAGAGAGTTTTAAATAAATCTGTATTTAATTTGTTCTTGAAGTTTAAATAGCCAAGATATTTAAAAATATGACTTAAAATAGCCACATATGCAAATGGAGAACAGCATGTTTCTTTGCACTCTATTGAGATGTGTTTAATTATAAATATGCAGAAGGCTTATAACCATCTGGTTACCTGCCAGACTTCAAAGTATACATGTCCTGAGGCCTCTGCTCCACTTTCAGGGCCACCAAGACCTGAGCTTGAATAGTGACCCTTTAACAAGAGGAGTCCTCTTTTCCATCTGTCCTGTCTAATTAGTTTATTTTAACAAGGGAAATTGCTTTTCCCTTGCCCTCCCCCTTCAGTTAAAGTTTTGATTAAAATACTTGGACAATAATCAGTCCTGGTGGGTCTGTCAGAGTTTATGAAACTAGCTGTTTCCAGGGATCACTTGGCTTGACCTGAAGATGTACCTGGGGTGCCATATACCTGAACACACATGCGTGCCCTTCAAAATTTTTGATTTATGTACGTATAAACTGTCAGGATAAAAAAAGACCTATCTTTAGTTACTTTTTTGATAACACATATGAGAAATATGGGATTTTAAAGTAGAACTTAATTTACACTTTCCTGAAATGCAGAAGTGTAAGTGGTTGTACAGTCCTGCTGCTGAGTACAAGAGGGGACTTGGTTTTGTTGGTTTAGTTTGCCCTGTTATGTTGAACTGATGACAGAAGTGCCATACCTGATATACAAACTATACCCTTCTTTTTGAACTGCAGAGATCTCCAAGTGTTTCTGTGTCATAAAGAAGATTAGCTGAGGGCTGCTGAGGGGAAAGGATAGGACCAACTCTATAGCATTTGCTCTTACCCTAAATATTCTGCCAGACACCCTGGAATAGGAAAACAGTAATAGGTAAAGGTGTACTTAAGTAGTATAGAGGCACTTCTATTTATTGGATTCCTTCCTTTGAAAACTTTTCAGTTATCTGTTGATTTGGTCAGTAACCTCTGATATAGATTTCTCTTTTTCTTGTAACTGTTGTATATTCATTGGCATTGGAGAATGTGATGAAATCCATCTGATGGTTCTCACTTTTTATACACTTTAGATTTGGGCTGTATGAGGACCATTGTATTCTACCTTATAACTTCTCACAGCAAATGTGTCCCATAAACTCTAGTAGGCCCAGATTTCCCCTTTATCAGACAGAAACCTTGATTTTGGTTCTGATTTCAGATTTGGCTTTTGAGGAAGCTCCCCTTAAATTTACATGACTTATGTGTCTGGGATTTTTAGCACAGCATTCAGTGTAAATTTTAGAGAATTACTAAAATAAAGGTTGAACTCTGTTTCTACTTGTCTATTTTAAAAGTATCCACAGAGGAAACATTTCTGTTTTGCAGGTTTTGCTGTGTGTCCTTGATACGCACTTCCTAGGCATATTTGCATGTGCATACGTACAGACACTGTGTCACACAGAGAAACACCAACAGCCTGAAAGCAAGTCAACACAAAAATCTCAGTTTTGCTGCTGCCCTGTGTCGTGATGCCTCTTTGATGTGAAGGAAGAACTACAACAAAAAGTGGGCTAGAGACATGATAATGCTGTAGCCCTAGCAAACTCAATTCTTGTATAGGCAGAATTTCAGGTCCTTTACTGAATATGTATAGGGTTTACAGCAGTAATATATTCATAGATTACTAGGCCCTAAGGGACCACTGTGATCATTTAGTTTGACTTGCTTAGTAATGCAGCCATAGGTCTTCTCTAAATTAATTTCTGAATGGATTTGGGCATATCTTTTGGAGAAGGCTTGCCTTGCTGGAGAATCCACCATCAGCCTCAAGTTATTCTAACTGCTTAGGTTATCCTCAGTTTTCAAAATGTATTTATAGCATCTGGTCTTAGTTCTTCCAGGTTAAGCATTCAGACATAGTATAGTACTAAATTATCTTCCAAATTAAGAAGAAGAAGAAAAAAGTTATTAAACTGCCATTTCTCAGGGGTGAAAGTGAGGTCTGTTTACTTATTTTCTCTGGATGCACAACTAGCCTAAGAAATTATTTAGAAGTCTAGTTTATAACTAGATTATTTTATTAATGCAGTTCAGTCTCTGACCCCTTGAACAGGCAAATCGGTGCATCTCAGAGGACAGTGGATTGTAACATGGGGCAGGAATGAAAGGCTGGTGGGGATGGAGGGCACAGGCCCTTCTTGAGCCAGCTTTATTGCCAAAGGCAACATGACAATGTAGTCATGCTGCTGGGGACTGTGATCAAGTCTCCTCTGCTGTCCTTCAGAAGTAATTCCTCTTCTTACACTCAGGATTGTCATTGTCAAGTTTGTTTTCTGGATGCAAGTTCCATACCTTAGATGTTATACTATCTAGAAGACTGAATGTGCTCAAGCTCAGCCCCTTTAAACTGTTTTAAATTACTCAGAATTGTATTTTTCTGCAATTTCCAGGTACATTGAAGAAAATCAGGTTTAAATTTGAGAAATTTATTCACTAAGTCTGTTTGAAGACAAAAGTTTCTGCAAATCTTTTCAACAGATACAAAGATTTCTTAGGTAGCTGTGATGAGGGTGTTGGTTCAATTTAATAAAGAAACACAAAAGCTGATTTAACTAAGCAGGAATTAATATTTTCTACATGCTTTAACATGTTAATAGGCCGAGTTTATCCACAGAATCACAGAATGGTTTGGGTTGGAAGAGACCTTTAAAGATACATAGTCCAACCCCCCTGCCATGGGCAGGGACATCTTTCATTAGATCAGGTTACTCAAACCCTACCCAATCTGACCTTGAACACCTCCATATTGAGGTATCCTGTTTTATTTTTTAAGCCTATGGATGTTTGTTGTGTCCCTATTAGATGTCTGTTCCAACTTTTCATTTGCAAATTCATTGTTAACTTTTACTTATTTTCCAGTTTAGAAGATCTTCCTTTTTTCTCTATTTCAGAAGAGGGAGAGAACTGATACTGTCTGTCACTGATGGGTGTCTTAATTCACAAAAGCATTAATATAAGAGAATTGAAATGGGAGATTTGGAACTTACTTTCTCCTTATGGTTTTGTGTTCCTCTGAATTGCAAAGGTTGTACTCTGCTGTTTTACGAGACTTATGGAAGGAACTCAATGGAGCAGAGCAGTTTGCCTCGATATGCCCTGTTTGCAGAAGACAGTATAGTTCAGTCTGTTCCAGAACATCCCAAGAAAGAAAACGTGTTCTGTCTCAGCAATTCTTTTGGAGATGTCTACCTATTTCAGGTAACATTATGCATATGTAACTTTGTGGTTGTTTTCATTTTAGGATGAGTTTGTGAGTATGGACATGCATCTCTGTGATTGTATATACCATGCACACACATGCATCATGCTTGTGCCTTTGACTTAAAAATAATAATGTAATTATGCTATTAAACCATGCTATTATAATATTGATTTAAGTACATGATATGATTTCAGGTATATGATATTACACCAGTAGGCTCAGACAGTTATGGTTCAGAAATAGAAAGAACAAAGATCATACATCTGCAAGACTCTTTTGGTACTTCGTTGTTACAAGCTTCTAGAAAATCAGCTTTATTAATAAATTGTTTCACATCTATTAGGATTTCATCCTTACAGAATGCTGTGCTCAACCCTGGATGTGCTGGCCTCAAAGACAGTTTGTTTAAGGTGTTCAAAAAAAGAAGGCTAAAAATAATCCAAAGATCTTGGCTGCTTAACTGCACCACTAGAAATGTTAATAAAGAACAGTATTGTATGGAACTACCTGCATAGAAACATGTTGATTCATAGGCACACATGTAAATATCTCCAGAGATGCTTTGTGCAGATGTATTTTCTTTACCTTGCTGTCCTTTCTTCACTGACTTGGCAAACTTGGCATTAACTTGGCACACAGTTCTCCTCAGGCCTTACATGTAAAATCTTCTCTGTTGCCATGTTACGTGCAGAAGAGGAGGTTTATCTTTGAAACCTGGTGGGTTTTACCTTAATTAATTGGCGGGATGACAGATGCCAGTCACATCTTTCCCACAGCTTGTGGGGCTCAGTTGTGTTCCTGGAGCTCTCAGACCTTGCAGGTCCAAGAAGCAGAAGCTGAAGTTTGGAGGCAAGTCATGATGGAATGCCGGAAAAGCTCACACTTCCTTTATTTGCATAGTTTTAAAGACAAAAGCTTATTTCACTTGTTTTAAGATAAAGTGCCTAAGATCACAGTGAACCCATCAAGCACTTCATGTCCTAGAGCTGCTGATTTGTAATTTTTTTTTTTCCCCTCTTGTATACTCATAATGTTGCTCTGTTGATTTGTTTCACAGGCAACAAGCCAGACGGATCTGGAAAACTGGGTTACTGCTATACATTCAGCCTGTGCTTCACTTTTTGCGAAGAAGCTTGGGAAAGAGGACACCGTTAGGCTGCTGAAAAATCAAACGAAGAGTCTCTTTCAGAAGATTGACATGGATGGCAAGATGAAAAAGATGGCAGAGTTGCAGCTCTCAATTGTTAGCGATCCAAAAAACAGGAAGGCCATAGAGAATCAGGTACTGGAAAAAATATTTTTATGGGAGCATATTTATCATTATTTCTTGCTTTGGGCTCTGACTGTCAGTGCTTTCTAGACCTGAGAGTAATTGTCCTGGGGATAGCTGGCATGGTACTTGTAGTTATTGCCAGGTTTCTACAGCAGTTCAAAGCAGCACGGGAGGTAGGCCCCCTCAAAGCTGCAAATCAGGGTGATCTGTTTTATGAGCATAACGCTATTTCTTTTCTCTTCTGGAAAAATGTAATTAATTTTCACTGTTTTATGATATACTTAGCTGTTAATATCTAGCTGTTACATGGCATACTGCAGAATATAAAGCATGTTTTGTGAGTAGTTTATTATTTAATTGCAGTAGAGATTTAAGAATAGGTACTTAGCAATACTGTTCTGCGTCTTAAGTCAGGATGTGAAGAGTACTTTATCTAAGTAAAATTGGAGGAAGGACTGAGGCAGACAAAAGCATATGCTTCACTTGAAATTTAGACATGACTAGAAGTCTGGGATCCACTAAGCTTCTTAAAAAGCCCCTTAGGAGTCTAAATGGGAACAAGAAGTCAAGACTGGAGCTTTCCATCTTAAGTGGAAAAGCACTGCCATAAGTAACATTGGCAGCCACTGGAGCATTATACCAGTATCAACTCAAAGAAAAGGGGGACACTTAGTCACTAGCATCACTTCTTGTAACACTTTCTGGTTGCGTGCTGGGAATTTTTTATCTCAGTGTAAGCCCAAGGCCTATCACTGTTTCGCTTGGGAGAGCTAACATAGTGAAGGCAAGGTTTTTACCCAGGGCTGGAGCAGACAAAATGTTTGCATTCAAACTTGTGTCTAGGCTAATTTTGTTTTGTTGCAGCAAGAGATGAGCAGAGTCATCAATTGCCTCCCCGCTGCAAATCTGAGTATGGCTTCTGAATGCCTGATGTGTTATTCTGATCATGTTTTCATATTACAGTGGTAGGAATTCCTGAAGTTTGGCTGAAACAGCAGCTTAGTGCTGAGGAAGATTCACTACTAAGTTTTGTTTTTAAAACAAAACCCAGAACAACTGCCCCAAAATTTAATGTTCATTGTGTGTATGTACCTTGGGATTTTAGCCAAGTCATGCCTAAGTACAAAAGATCAGGGCAGACTGATGAGCAGCTAGAACTGTTCCTCAGTGAAAATGGTCATCTTGCTGTCTGTATGGTGGTGCATAGACATCAAGCTTTACTCTTTTCGCACTTCTAGCACGTGAACCAGGAATCACTCCCGTGATACTTTATGGAAGTACATCTTGAGGTATTGACATCTTGCCCATGTCCCCAGTTTTGCAGGCAGCGACTGGCAGAAGATGCTTTAATTAGACATGTTTAGTGTTTAGGCAAAGACTTCACTACCCAGAGCCTCTTGTGTACTAAACTTACCTAGTAGTTTAGCCTAATAGGTCTGTGGACTGAGGTCACCATATCTTTTATTTCATTAGGCCATTAACAGAAGACATGTGATAATTTAAATTTGTTGACTGGTATTTGAAAGCCCATCCCTACCTGCCTTTCCAGTCAGAGTAGCTATTGCTCTGTCATTACTTTAGGCTGCACATTATGGCCTCTTGAGTAGCAGCTGAAGTTTATTTCCTTTGATCCAATACATCATAATTATGTTTCTTTGGTTAGTGGAACGCTTTTAGTTTCGGGAATTCAATGCTTATAGTATTTAAGATTGTTACTATACTGGTTTGAACTTGACAAAGGGCAGACTGGCTGGTACTGACTTCACTGTCAAGCTCTTGTACCCCATTTCAGTCTGAAGCTATATGAGCAGAGTTCAAAAAGTATGCAGGTTTGTGTAGGAATTTGTGGTGCAGATGTTTGTAAGCCCTTTGAGTGCTCAGATGTTCATAATTTATTTCTAGGTCATGTTATTTCATGGTCCATAGCCTAGTGAGGTGAATGGAGGAGGAAAAACATTAAGTATCCTTTTATTAAAGTAGGTTTTGAGACCTATATACAGATTTCTAGAGATATTAGTTATTGTAATATGTGTTGCACTGAGGAAAAATCATTGCGTATATTAACCTAATTTACCCCTCCTGCCATTAGATGCTAACGCTAGTAGTTTATTTAGTAAGATGAAGAGTATTAATGATGCTCTCTTAATATCAGTTAATTAGATGTTCTGTCCTTGAACAACTGCCTTTGTTTTCCAGCTCAGTCCGTGGAATAAGTTGGCTGTGTTCTGTTAGAACTAAAATCAATCACTAGGGCTACAGAAGATTTATTCCTGTTAATCTTCTGTCTATGAATGTCTTAAAACGTAGAATGGGGGGCAAACCAGTGAGACAAAGAGTGAGATGGATCATGTGCAAACATCCACTAGTTAGCAAACAATAAATTTATAATGAGCCTTTTCTCCGGTCTTGATACCTTTGATCTCTATAAAATCTCTCCTTACAATTGCTGAAGGTTTGTTGGCAAAGGCACTTCAGAGAAAAGTCAATAGATAACAGGGTTTCCTAGTCTTTTGATTTGATATCTCAGACATTGGCTTTTTCAAAGGAAAAAAAAAATCTTGATGTAATTAGTAACCAAGAATTCTTAATATCTTTAGTAAGCTAGCAGTTTTGAAAAAACATTATTCCTGAGGGAAAAGTTTGCATGTGTGTTGCTCAGTTATTTAGTAACTGTGGTTGTCTAGTTGTCTTTTTCCCACTTTGAATAACAAGAGGAATATAAATTCTCGATTGGGTTTTGTGTAAAGTTTCTGGTGTTTTCAATCATGTGGCAGTTATGATTCCTCCATGCTAAAGTATATTGTATTGCCAGTACTGGAGTTTATAAGCATGCCCTACATCCTGTGCTGGAAAACTTCCCTGGTGATGTATTTTGGGAAGTCAATGGAAATAGTGTGATTAACTTCAAACGGACCATGGTAGTTTTTTTATGTAGAAAGATGAGGCACAGTCTTAATTTGTTTCCACTGGGGAATTATGTTGGAAACTGTGAGTTCTATATCATTTCTCCTTTTCCTTCCTATTCCTTAGAAAAACAGCCACCCAACCTCAGCTTTCTATTTTCTTTCTCAGCTGTATTGATTTAAAACCAGTACTTCTCTGCTGAGGACGTAGTAATTCATGGGGCTTTACAAGCAGCAAAATCTTTTCTTATTTCACCGTTACCATCACTTGAAAGGCAGTTGCAGTAAGGAAATGCAGACTTCTAAAATTACTATGGGTATTGTAATGTACACACATGTTTCTTTTTGGTGTCCAGCAAATGGACTGGAAAAGCTCATCTGATACTATCTTTTAAATTTGGTGTATTTGAAGACTAGAAATTGATAAAGCTAGTGCTAGACAGAAGAAGCACAAACAAAAAAATTACAAAGAAAATGTTGGTTTTCTAGAGAAATGATTGTTTTAGAGATTTGATGCTATCTGAATGGATTGAGAAGTGTCTTCAGCTTTGTGGCCTAGATCAGGGATTCTCTCTATCTGGGTTTACTGGTTCAATAATAGTCTTAATAACTGTTTAAGAGAAGATGACAGCCCTTCATATAGCTATTGGTATCATTGGGCAGTTTAGAAGAGATCAGCGAAGCATCTGTGAGAGTACATACAGCAGCCAGTCCCAGTAGGCCACTGGCAGCATGGCTGGAAATCCCAAGTCTGCACATACTACTTACAGCCACGTGCATTTATATTACTATATACACTAAATATGTTGTGGGTGGTGGTATTCCCCCAGGGTGTAACTTCTCCCCTAAAATGAAGAGAATTAGGATGAAAGGTAGCAAGTTTGAAAATCCCCTGGCACAGAGATGAATTTCAAAGCCCGTATTTAAAAAAAAAAAATTCTAGTTTTCTTAGCTGTTTAACCTGCTAGAGAAATCACAGTGTTTGCTGTGAGCATGGAGCACTGTCTCACTGCTACTGAAGTTAGTGAAAGGGATTATTAGCATTTATTCAGAGCTCTTTTAACAAAATATTGCACATCAAGTCCAAACTGTGGCTGTCTGTGCCTGTACAACTGGTTTTAATGGGATGGAAAAACTACCTCACAGTAAGGACACTGCAGCTCTGGGTGTACTTCTTTATGTACTTCATACATAAATCTATTCTGTTGTCTCACTTTAGAACAATAATATGAATAATAGTTGATTGGAAACATTCTGGGTTTTTCTCTGCAAATACTAATATGTTGGTATAATCGTGTTTTCCAAGCTATTCAGAGATTTCTGATGTGATTCATATTTTCTGTGCACATGATACTTAATTTACTTATCAGATGGATTTGAACATGGGTATTTACTTGCAGGCACTGAAATGATGAGGCGTTAATGAGAAGAACAGGCACATGCTTGGAGATATTTTTTATGGAGGTCTTCATATGTGTCCTCCAACTAAAAGTGGTTTATCTCTTGCCATAAAAAAATAAGGGGATCAGTAAGGTGATGGCCTATTTACTCTCATACTGCTTAAATCGATTAGTACCCATTCTTCCCTTCCCGGTAGTGGTGTTTGGCTTTTTGCACAGAGCATAACTTCATTACTTTTTTTTGGTTTAAAACGTACCTGCCTCTTTCTCTTTTCTGTCAAATTTATAGGAAGATGATTGGAATAGTTTTGAGAATTTATTCTTCAGGCTCTCCAAATTTCATGTCTTAATTTTCTATAAAGCATCTGATGAAATATTTTCTGATATTCAGATGAAAACTCACAATAATGACACTCAAAGAGAATTTTTTCAGGGAACTTTGCTAACACTTGCCAGTTTTTCCGCATACAAATTCATCTTGAACTGTAATACACAGTTTCTCTTCTTTCTTCCATACCCTCCTAAACTAAAAAACATTATCTAAACTTGTAAGAACAGATCTTCAGTTTGGGTGGTCTTTGAACTGGCTAGAGTAGAGCTCCACTTTCTGAGACGTTCAGTATTATTTCTTTTCAGGTGTCACTCTTCAGTGTAGGATGGTCCCTCCCTACATCATTAGCAAAATCCTTCTCTTTAATAATAGTGG